CTCCACGGGGATCCAGAGCGCAGCCGCATTCTCTGATGCCACCCCCACCCCCCATGCCGCGCCACTCCCAGGGGGTTCCATTCGATTCCACCTGCAAACACTGCAGAGGAAACTAAAGGCCAGTGGATGGTCATTTGCATCTCATTTGAATATTGTCTGGAGCAGTCGGCGCCTTCCCAGGCCTGCTCCCGCTGTCAGTCACCTCGGTGTCCTAGCGGTCCGCACCCTCACTGGCTGGGTTTCACCATCCCTGTCTTCTAGGTCAGCATCTGCGGTTGCCAGGTAGGCGGATGCGAGAGGCCCGGTCTTCCTGATTCTCTGGAGGCCACCCCGTCGCCGCTGGCACCATGCTGTCCCCTCAGAGGGCTTTACTCTGCAACCTCAACCACATCCACCTCCAGCACGTCTCTCTGGGCCTGCATTTGTCGCGCCGTCCTGAGCTAAGGGAGGGGCCCTCGAGCACATCCTTCCCCCCGGGGGACGCAGGGGGCAAGGAGAGCCGGGGCCCCTGCAGCGGGACCCTGGTGGATGCCAATTCCAACAGCCCAGCGGTGCCCTGCCGATGCTGCCAGGAGCACGGGCCAGGCCTAGAAACCCGGCAGGACCCAGCACAGGATCAAGAGGGGGCTGCCTCTCCCTCGGACCCGGGTTGCTCCTCCTCTCTCAGCTCCTGCTCAGATCTTAGCCCTGACGAGTCCCCCATTTCAGTCTACTCGCGCGACCTCCCTGGTGACCAAGATGTCCCCCCTCAGCCTAGCATCACCCCCCCGGAGCAGGGCTCCCCTCTGGCCTCCGCAGGCCCTGGCGCCTGCTCTCCCGACAGCTTCTGCTGTTCTCCCGATTCCTGCTCCGGAGCTTCCTCCCCACCCGGCCCTGGCCTGGACTCCAACTGCAATGCGCTGACCACCGGCCAGGACCTGCCTTACCCAGGGCTGGAGGAGGAGGAGGAGGGTGGGGAGCAGGACCTCCTGACCTCCGAGCTCTCGGAGGCCGACGACGGGAAGACCCACCCTGGGAAAACCGAACCCAGTTGGAAAATCAACCCCATTTGGAAAATTGACACCGAGAAAACGGAAGCTGGCTGGAAAATCCCCGAGGACAATAACTCTGGTTGGAAAATCGGGGGGAATACTAACTCTAGTTGGAAAGCGGAGCCTGGAAAATTTGACTCCGGTTGGAAGACCAACACAGGAATAACTGATTCTGGCTGGAAGACAGACGCAGGGAAAAGTGATGGAGGCTGGAGGAGTGACGTCAGCGAGGAGCCGGCGCCCCACCGGACCATCACGTCCTTCCACGAGCTGGCCCAGAAGCGCAAGCGGGGCCCGGGGCTGACCCTCGCGACGCAGGCCAAGAAGGACCGCAGCGACTGGCTCATCGTCTTCTCGCCCG